GGGCACTCAGGGTCTCCCGTTTTATGATCACTGGGCTTATTAAAGCGAGAGCAAGAGGCACATTTTGAAGCTTCTACTTTTTTCGTGCACGCAGATGTTACATGGCCCATTTCTCCGCAGTGTCCACATGACGAGAGGTCTCTGCATGTTTTAGCGGCATGGCCATACTGTTGGCATTTGTAGCACCTGGTAACTAATGTATAATCTCTCACAGGGCAAGAAGTCCAATTTATGTATATCCTTTCTTGAGTTATGAGGGCTTTGCGGATCTTAGCTGGAACCTGTATGATGAAATTGCAGTTCGCTGTATCTTTCTTCCCGGATTTATGGCTTAATTTGATGTTGCTTAAAAAGGCTTCCAGTGACATCTCCGGAAAATTTTCAGCGACATTTTGCTCATAGAGACACTTTAATACGTCAGTATCAGTCATAGAAGTGGGCACTCCTACTACCGTTATTCTTGGTTGGCGCTTGTTGGGCTCACCGGTAATAAGTCCAGTCGACGAAAGGTTAACTGCCTGCTTTACCTTCTCAACATCTTCCTTGGTCTCAGTGCTAATTATCACACCACCGTTTTGAATTTTCCTGACTCCACGCACATGTAGTTTCATTTGATCCGGGCGAATGATTTGCTGAACTAATGTTTTAGTTTCGTCACTAGATTTTAATTTGTTGACAGGGTAAATGGCGACAGAGCTTAGATTACTGGGTTTTATGTAATCATTTGACCCTTTTTTTACCATATCAGCAAAGGACACGTTTGTTGTTGCGGGAGAGGTCTTAATTGTTTCTTTTAATTCAATGATTTCTTCTGCTAGGTCTCGTTTTTCGTGAAGGTTGTCAATTATGTCGATTGCTTGGTTAGCCTTTTGCTTCAGAGACTGGTATAGGACTGCCATTTGAGAGACGCCAGATCCTATTTTGCGGCTCAGGTTACTGATTCTTAGTTTCTGCTCCGAATTCAGTTTGCCTTCCGTGGCAATAATGCAGACCTCATTTAGTTGCTTCTCGATAGATGACATCCATTTTTGAAGTTCTGATGTGGAGACTACTTCAATATAGAAGTCAGATTGATGACTTTTTACTTGTGAAGCACAGGCCCGGATATTGCTGGGGCTGTTATCCATTTTTAAATCAGTTTATGTTTCCATATTAGTACGTAAACTTCGCAGTAGGCAAAAATTTTAAAGGAGGTCACTATGTATACGTTAATACAATTTTGTTATTTATGCGCACGTCTGTTCACTGCAAGGGCAGCCGAATCAATCCTTTTCATAATAATGAAAATGAATTCAAAAATATAATTAAAAGTTTATCGAAGATATACTAAAAAAAAAAATAAAAGAGTGTGTGCTATAAAGCAAATAAATCTCACTGTGCATTTAGACATAAGATAGAGACCAGACCTGAAGACGATGTCAAATATGTTTTCTTGTGTGAACTTACCGGAGGCAGTAGGCGATGCATTGTTGTTACCACAGTGTGCCATGTGAGGCGGAGTGGGTGAGCCCTCCAGCGCGCCCTGCTGCTGCTGGCTGATGTTGTTGCAGTACGACATCATCGTGTCCCCTGCAAAGAACAAAACAATCGCTTGTGATTTTAAGAAGAAACATTTAAATAGGCATAGGGCATTTGATCTTATTTCGGGTCGTTTCATTTTCAAATTTTCAGAAATAGTAAAGCAATGTTTTCTGCAAAATATTTTCAGTGACATATTGACAGTCTCTGCCTTGACTTTTGCGAGGTGTTGGTTCACCAATGATACACAGAAATTCTTTAACATTACATTAATATGTTTATGCTTTGGGTGATGGACATAATAAAGATGACTAACCAAGAGAGTTGAGCGGATAATGTCCCTGGTAAGGTTGTCCAGAGGCAACGGAGCTGATAGGCAGGGATGGGTTGAGGTCAGCAGCTAGCTGTGGTAGACCACCCGCGCCGAAACCACCCATGGACACACCGCCTTGTGATAGCTGACCTAGACCTGAAAGTTTTAAAATTTAATCATATCAATCACAACAAATAGAACTTTTAAATATTGAAATATCTTCTGCCTCGTTGGCCCTGCGGTAGTAAGTGCGACTGCCGGGCAAGGGGTCTCTGTTTCGATTCCCGGGTCGGGCAAAGTATTACTGAGTTTTTTAATTATTCTCAGTAGTAGCACGGAGTCTGGAATTGTGCCCGGTATATGGCAATAGGCTCACAACCCTATTACATGGGACTCATAAAATAAATAGTGAAAAGTGGGTGTTACATTATACAGTGGTATAATTTGCACCTCTGCCTATCCCTTCGGGGATAAAAGGCGTGATGTTATGTTATGTTAAATATCTTCTACAAGCTGTAACTACCAACTTTGTACGTGGAAAAACAGGATTTCCGTCTATTATTGCCGTTAAGTTTCGAGTAAGTTCTCTTTTAAATTCGTTTTTTTACACCCAGGAGTTTCGGCTGTCTTAGGTACGTACCTATTAATTAGATAAACTGTAATATTGCATCGCCCACGAATTATTCACAGCTATAAATGATTATACTTATACCTGTGAACTAATAAGTACAACAAGTAGGTAACTCGAATCTTGAAAAACTGAAAATAAGTCATTTAAGAAAACGATAAGAAATAAGGACTATTAACCTGCAGGCATAGACCAGGGTCTATCAGCGAAGACGCCAGGACTGCAGACGTCCCCGGCACCGAATGGCGGCAGTCCGTGCGACGGCAGCAGCGCGCCAGGAGAACGGAACACGTTGGTACTCTTCTTGCGTTTCTTCCACTTCGCTCGACGGTTCTGGAACCAGACCTGAGAAAGAGAAAAAAATGGATTAATATGGTTAATACACGTATTTTGTATTGTAATTAGTAGGTACTTACATGACGATTGTTACTTTAGACACTACCCTTTTTCCCGGGGGATTTGAGAATGTAGTAACACCACAGTATTTCTAGTTCCTCAAATGTTCTTGTTTGTAATATCACTTATCTTCCTGCTCGCAAAATTTCGATACTACTTGCTCAGTGATATTTCTATCAATAACACAACATGCTACCCATGTTTCAAAAAACTAAAAATAGTTAATAATAGGTAAGGCAGGTCCTTCCACTGTCCATCTAATCCGCGCCCGACTCTAAGATTTCCCATAACTTAAATCACCCTTCGACGATAATCATCAATCACACGGAAGCCCTAAACTCAGCCTGTCCACGTGGGGCTTGTCTGAAATCGCACGTCATTTGTCAGCGGCTCACAACTTATTGATTCTGATAATGCTGGGATCATCCACCGCTGTTTATCATTGTTTGGGGTGCTACCCGTTATTAGAACTCGTGGCCTTTGCTGGACTTCGATCTGTTTATTATCTGTCTATGATTACATCTGTTTATGATAATTTTTTCGTAAATTGCTAATGGGAGATGAATGAAAATATTATTTTCAGGCAGCTTTTTCGCTGCTAAATGTTTCAAAGCACCATAGAAGGTTACGGTACATTTAATTTTTATTTATTTAGTTATTTATTTATTTATTAAGAGTTACCAACATTTGATGACACAACACTACACATAAACTAAACATAAAGCAGACAATGCTGCCTCGTTGGCCGAGTGGTCGCAAGTGCGACTGCCGGGCAAGGGGTCTCGGGTTTGATTCCCGGGTCGGGCAAAGTATTACTGGGTTTTTACAAAATTCTCAGTAGTAGCACGGAGTCTGGAATTGAGCCCGGTATATGGCAATAGGCTCACCCCCTATTACATGGGACTCATGACATAAATAGTGAAAAGTGGGTGTTACATTGTACAGTGGCATAATGTGCAACTTTGCCTACCCCTTCGGGGGTAAAAGGCGTGATGTTATGTATGTACGTATGTTAAAAAAATACAATCAAAGAAGAATGAGCCTAAATGTAACAAACAATTACAGGTAATTACAACATTCACTGATCACTGCGTATTTGCGTCAATTAACAGCATCTTTTTTGTAACTAGAAATTATCTAATTCATAGATACATAATCATCATCAATACTACGCAAACTTGAATATTGAAACAAAGGTTTCTCCACAATCTCACTATTGTTGTACACACAAAGGTAAGTCAATTTAATAATAATCCTAACTAATATTATAAATTGGAAAGTGAGTTTGTTTGTTTGTTTGTTCCGCTTTCACGCCATAACTACTAAACCGATTGCTTTGAATTTTTGCAGACGTAAGGTTAGAAGTCTGGTTTAAAATTAAATAATGCGGTACTTTTTATCCCGGAAAAATTTGATATTCTCGAGGGAAAACGAAATTATTGGTATAGATGGCGCTGTGTGTATTGATATATGTCACATAGGCTACTTTTTATCCTTTTGTGACGTGAGCGAAGCCGCGGGTAAAAGCTAGTATTATAAATAATAATAAATAAATAAAATGTTTATTTGGTGTAAAAAGCCAGATTACAAAATAAATCTTAATATCTAAACAAAGTCTAAAAATATGTGAAACCTGAACTAGGTCCAAGCCTGTGTTTCAGGTTAAAAATGTACTGAAATATTTAATATACAATAATATTGCTTATAAAACTAAAAATGTTATGTCTAAATTAAATTAAGCTAGTCTCTAAGTATAACAGGTGCGCGTGTACAGTTTCATAAACAAACGTAAGCAAAAATAACTAAGTCAACTATAATAAAATTATTTGCTTACTTCAAGTAATTCCTCGGTTTGATCGTATGTTAAGGTGTGTACATAATTATGTAATAGTTTTTTACAGTGAAAGTGATTGAGGCTATAAATACTTAATTCTCTATTTATTCTATTGTATAAAAATGGGCCAAGAAAGATAAAGAATCTTTTTATAAAAGCGTGTTTTGACACTGAGGTTGAAGTGCAAACCATATCATTCCGCCTTTTGTTAGTAAGATTATTAACATTGAAGCTGAGTAGTGAATGTTGTTTGAGTATTAGCTGTACTACATAGATTTGGCGAACAGTTAAAACTTTGCAGGATCTATATAGCATCGATGTAGGAAAGAGAAAGGGATGGGAAAATGCAACTTTTAGGATGGCTCTCTGAGCACGTTCTAGAGGGAGTATATTAGTTTTTGATGCGCCACCCCAAGAAGTAACACAGTACTGGATAATTGACTGACATAACGCTAGGTAGATTTGAGTGATTAGTTTAACATCTCCGATTTGTCTAATTTTTTTAAAAATGTGCATCAATTTCCTGACACGTGCAACCAAAGCGCTGATGTGTTGTTTGAAACAAAGAGTTTCATCAATTGTGATGCCTAGATATCTGATGGAAGTAGTTTTTAATATACAAGGGCAGTTGCATGTGTCCACTGGACTAATTCTACATTTATGTGCGTATAATTGGGGTGTAACAGAGGTAATTGGACTCTTGCGCATAGAAAAGTGAATAAATTTTGTCTTCTCCGCATTTAGTGTTAGTATATTAGAGCAAAGCCAACTATTAACTGAATTAAAAGCCAATTGAGCATTACAGTACAGTTCATTGTCGTTATTGGATGAAAAAATTAGGGCCGTGTCGTCAGCGTATGATATTAGTTTCCCATGATGCATCTCAATGTTACATAAATCGTTGATATAGATCAAAAATAGGGTAGGACCAAGAATACTCCCTTGAGGCACTCCAAAACCAGTATTTTTCTGGAATGGGCTTGTGACGTCATCTATTCTAACACACTGGTAACGGTCATCTAGATAATCAGCAAAGAGGTTCAGTTGTGTGCCTCTGATACCCATACATTCCATCTTCTTTAGAAGCAGTGGAATAGACACAGTATCAAAAGCTTTGGCAAGATCAATAAAAATTCCTAGAACGTGGTTGCCTTTGCCGAGTTCTTCTGATATGAAATCTGTGAGTGTATGTACTGCATCAGCTGCTGACAACTTTGCTCTAAAACCAAATTGCAGTGGTGACAAGAATTTATTCATTTCTAGGTAATTTACCAATCTGATGTTAATAATCTTCTCAAGAATTTTAGATATCGATGGCAGTAGTGAGATAGGCCTATAATTATTAACTAGATTCTTGTCACCTGATTTGAATATAGGGACAACCACTGCCCTTTTAAGACATTTTGGAAAAATGCCTTTAGAGAGACACTCTCGAAAAACATGAGTCAGAGGTGGGACAAAAATTTGCCTATATGTTTTCAAGATCCTATTGCTGATTCCATCACAACCAGTTGCACAATTATCTTTCATTCCAGTTATGATTCGTGCAATTTCCTGTTCGTCTGTATCTAATAAAACAAATGATTTTTCAGTATTTGAGTGTAGTAAAGTTGTATTAGTCCGGGTTGTAGAGTTTAGCTGCAACTGTTGAGCGAGGTTTCTACCCACATTTAAAAAGTAGTTATTTACATTGTCAGCAGACTGAAGCGAAGTAGATTCCGTTAGTAGTAAATTCGAACATGATTCTCGCTGTTTGGACGTATTTGTTACATTTTTTATGTGTTGCCAAAGTCTCTTACTATTTTTACCCGCCCGATGTAACGCGCCTTTATCGTAATCGATTTTAATCTTTTTCAGCAAATTATTGCAAAAGTTCCTGTATCTTTTGTATGTTAATTGTAGATCAAAATTATCAGGAAAACGTTTTGCTCTATGATGTAGTTTGTCCCGGTGTCTTATACATCTAACAAGCCCAGGCGTAATCCATGGCTTTATGTTATAATGTCTGTTATTAGTTTTTATAACTGTGGTATTACGACGAATAGCTTGTTCAACATTATTTATTAAATACGACATCGAGACGTTGACATCAGCAGAATTATAAATCGGTGTAAAGTCGATATTGCGTAAATCATGTTCGAGTTTTTTTAGGTTTAATTGTGACCTAGTTTGGTGACGATTTTGCTTCGGAAGCGTGAAGTTAAGGATAAGCAGAACGGCATGATGATCGGTTAATGTAGAGTTAGTAACAAGGCTAATATAGTTTGAGTTGGTTTTAACCATCATGTGATCCAGACAGGAACCACTTTGATGTGTTGCCAATTTATGAGCAGCGAGGAGTCCATGAAATGCACATAAATTAAGGTAATCCTGTATTCCTGCATCAGAATTCTCAGAGTTGATATTAATGTTTATGTCACCTGTTAGTACAATATTTCTAAAGGAGGTTAGTGTTTCACATGTCTGGTTTAAGGAATTGAGAAAGGAATCTAAATTTCTAGTGGAAGGTGGCCTGTAAACAGCTATTATTGCTGTAATTGTATCTACCTTAATGACCAAACAATTGCATCCTGGTGTATTGGGTTCCTCTACAGTAACTCTTAATGAATCTTTGGCATAGACAACCACTCCTTCATTTTGGCTAGTATTCATAGTATTACAAAAAGAGTTATATCCCTGAATATCAGGTAGGTTAACGCATCTACTTTTAAGCCAACACTCTGTTAGTATGATTATGTCACATGAGAAGTTAAGTCTTCCTAGAAGAACATGAAAATTATCTATATTTTTGTATAAGCTACGAATGTTTTGAGTGAGAACAGTTAGTGATTTTGAGAAGTTGGATACATAGCTTTTGCAATCTTCAACCTCACAAGAAGTGGATATGTTTGAAAAGGAATCGTCAATTTCATTAATTAAGTTAATGGCCATTTAACAAGTAAACTTAGATCTAAGATTAAGAAAAAAGAGTGGCGCTCTTAGGCGCCTTCATAATTTACCGAATTCATGTACCTATTTTCTGCTGCTTTTTTAGCTGGGCAGTCAATATCACCAGTTTGATGGTTGCTCGGCTTTTTGAAGCGGGCGCAAGTAGCGCACTTCGGCGGAGCTCCTTTCTTAGGGCAGTCTTTGATAGAGTGGCCCTCATCTCCGCAGTGACCACATGTTGGAGCGGCAGCCTGGCACGACTTGGCTGCATGACCATACTGCTGGCAGTTGTAGCATCTGGTCACTATAGTAAAGTCTCTCACAGGGCAGGATGTCCAGTTGATGAACACTCTATCTTGCGTTATAAGGGCTTTACGTAGGGCGGCTGAAACTTCAATGATGAAGTTGCAGTGGTCGGCGTCTCTCCTTCCTGATTTATGGCTTAATTTTATTGAAGCCAGGAAGGCATCACGGGACAAACTGGGAAGCTTTTCAGCAACGTTTTGTTCAAAAATACATTTGAACACTTCCGGCTCAGCCATTGAGGTCGGGATTCCTAAAACAATAAGTCGCGGATTGCGTTTCTTCGGCTCATCAACGGTAAGTCCTGTGGAAGAGAGCTGGACTGATTTCTTCAGCTTTTCCAAGTCCTCTTTTGTTTCAGTGCTAATAATGACACCGCCGTTACGTATCTTGCGAACGCCACGTACTTTTAGATTGATGTCTCCTGGGCAAATGGCTTTTTGAACAATGTTCTTAGTGTCGTCGCTGGTCTTTGATTTATCACTAGGATAAATTGCAACAGAGCTTAAGGGGCTTGGACGTACAAAGTTGTTGGTACCTTTTTTCACCATGTCGGCAAAAGAGCTATTTTGTGGCACGGATTTCGAGCAGGACTCTTTTATCGTCTCTTTAATTTGCGTTAAAGAAACAGCAAGGTCATTTTTTTCTTTGAGGTCTTGTAAGGCATAGTGTTGGATCAATGCCTTATTCTTCAGGGCTTGGTATTGCACAGTGACGTGGGTGAAGCCTTGGGATACTTTTCGGCAGAGGTTGCTAATTTTCAATTTCTGTTCGGAGTTCAGTTTGCCCTCGGAAGAAATATTGCAGATTTCTTGTAGGTATCTCTCAACTGACCCGGTCCATTGGTGAAGATCTGATGTAGTTACAACTTCTGGAGGGTCAATTTGGGCTGGTTGTTCCCGGCACGGTGTTGTCGGCGGAGGGGTGCGGCGAGTAATCCCGCTCCGGTTAAAGGGGCTGCTGTCCATATTACTCGTCGTTGTACACACTTATTGTCATAATTAATCAAATTATAGTTTGTAGCACTTAACTCACATATAAAATTAAAGTCAAAGTAAATACCAAACTAGGTCACTATTATTTTAATTCTTCAATTAAGCAATATTATTTTGCATCGATGTACACGTCTATTCGCGTTTGAAGTAATGAAGTGAAAAAAAGAATGAAAAAAAGAAAGAAAGAAAAAAAGAAAGAAAAAGAAAGTATTGGATAATGTCCAATAGTTGTAATGCGACGGTGTGCAAAAATCAGTATAAAACTGTAATAACAAACAAAACAAAAGTATCTTTCTTCCCTCGCAATGTGAAAATGTCGACCACATTAAAAATTTAAATGATATCGGTTCTTTAGTGACAAGCGGCAGCGATTCTTGTTTTCCCGCTTCTTTTTTAAACCATGTACCTATATATTTTTGATGACTATATAAAAGTCACGTTTCATAAAACTTAAAACATATAACTTATCATGAAACTTGAAAAATAAGAGGTCTATGGTACGGTTCATAAAATCATGCATAGAGTTAGATTTTCAATAGAGAAAAACTCAAAATGAAAAGTGTATTTGTATATGGACCACTAGATTTTTGCCGACTTCATATACATAGAATCTCCCAATCATAAAATTGTACTAGAGATAATGATAGTCAAAGAGAACCTTATGAAAATCCATTAAAATAACGAAATTTTGTAGAAATTTATTTCGCATACTTAATAGGTTATTTTTATTTTCCGCTACCACCAAACTTAGTGTAACGCTACCTTAAAACTGCAAACAAGCGAGAGGCCAGATAAGCGAGAGGCCAGATAAGTGAGAGAGAGGGGAATACTCATTTGGCAACTGTCACCGGCAGGACTCTATTATTTATGGTGTCAGCGGTGGGGATGCCCGCCTCGCCTGCAAACGTTCACGTTTCCAAGCTTTTTGTTTGTTTTCTACTTCGTGGTAGACAAACAATGTTATGTACGTGCCGTGGGAAACAGGCTTCATGTCTGAATTGTGTTCCACCAAAAGTAGCTACCAAACCAAGCAAAAACAAAACAAAGAAAATAAAGATGAAAAGCACAACATGAGCAACATATAAAGTAAGAAGACAAAGACACGCTGTTTTTAAATTTAACTTGCTTAGCAAAATAAAGTTAAATAATAATGGAACCGAATTTTGACATTAGTTTATTGAGTTTCTAATAAAAACCTAAACTGATCCAGATATTTTGTTTTAAGGTCAGTTCTTTCGATTTTAATATTCGACGGTTATTCAAAATCCTAGTAATATGTTGTCAAGATTCCATGGATCAACTGAACCTATGATTCAGATTTAAAAAACAATGTGGCCAACAACATAACAACTGAAAACATTCCCAAATTTCCAAGTGATAATTTATAATAACGCAACATTTCCCTCGACTCTGCGTGTATGAATGTTTGTGCAATACACTGAAGTTTATAAACCGGCCGGGCGATGGCGGGCGCGTCTAATTGGGCGTACCGTATAGTTTCCCAACGTGAGCTATGATCGTGAGCTCCTAGTTAGCAAGCTGTGTTTGTGTGTCGTGGCCAGCTACCAGCGGATAGCGGGCGAGTCTTCAGGAGTGTCACGATGTATGAAATCTCGGCTAGTTTCTTGTACAGTCAATAAGTATTTAGGTATACGTACTTGGTAGAGTCCCACACCTGCTTATTCACATATCGAACTGTCTACTCACGTGGCATTCGTAAATCAAAGAAGCATCGATGCGAATTGTAAAGTATTGGTCGAGTTTAAAGACATAACGAGGTTTTAGTAGAAGTCTGTACATCACATACGCTACGGCTTTATAATTCGAATCTCCATCTTCTGTATCATGTGCCATACTGATGGTTGGCGCCAAAAATCTGTTACTTACAACATTTAATATTTATCCGGTAGCAACTAGTTGTGTACGTATTTAGTCATCTGCACTTAGACGCTAGGTACACAACATACACCACAAGTGTGAAAAAAATATGCAAATGTAAAGAAAATAGCTTTAAACACACAAATATTGCCTTGAATCAACTAAAATCTTCGCGATTTCCTAAAAACTGATAGATTTTTGTTTTCAGTCCGATGAGTCTTCTTAGCCAAATGCCTTTGGCTAACACAAACAGGCTTTTGTGTTACAGAGCAAATTTTTGCCATCTTCTAAGTATTAGTTGAACAATCAGGATAATATTTCTGCCAACTAATCTTTTAAAACTACGTAGGAATATAAGATTTCTTGAAGGTATAATTTGGAATTAGAAAAATCTCCAAATTTTTTAAAATTTTGACAACTATCAAAGTATTTCGACTTCCTCAGACGGTGAGTCACCTCGCGAAGGCTATAATGAGCGTAGCACGCATCGTATGGCGCCTATCTTGCGCCAGCTTGGTGCGGTGTTCTAATATGAAGAACAAACATACAGTCACGGTAGCAAAGCTGTTGCTACCAGCCAATAGAAATACTTACAGGAGCCTACTAGGAGAGATTTCATTTCATTACTGTAATGCTTAAAAACGTTCCAAGTTCTTTCTGTTAGTTCCAAAGAGTTCCTCATCAGCCCTTGTGATAGTCCATCGCTAGTTATAGACCTCCTTTATTCAGATACGGTACGTAGGTATATTGGAGTTTACAGATTAAAAATATTTTAAGGTTCTAATTTACAGAGGGCGCAACTGATCAATCTTTCAAGTCAAATGTTTAGTCTCATAGTCGGCTCTTGCGATACCATCGGGATTTGGTGTGATGGGGGCTTAATTCTTATTTATTTTTTTGGGACAACCCCGCCACAACCTCCCAAAACCGCTGCAACTCCTGTAAGCCAGGATCTACAGTAGATACAACCATGAAAACACCGGAACATTGAAGTCCAGCGCGTCCCAGGGACATGAGTAACTGTCTTGGTTCCCGCAACGAAGTGAATCAGAAGATATTATAAGAGGAGAAGAAGAAAAAACTATAGTTTCCATAACATATATAACATAACATCACGCCTTTTTATCCCCGAAGGGGCAGGCAGAGGTGCACATTACGGCACCTAATGCCACTGTACAATGTAACACCCACTTTTCACTATTTATGTTATGAGTCCCATGTAATAGGTGGTGAGCCTATTGCCATATACCGGGCACATTTCCAGCCTCCGTGCTACTACTGAGATTTTTAAAAACCCATTAATACTTTGCCCGACCCGGGAATCGGACACGAGACCCCTTGCCCGACAGTCGCACTTGCGACCACTCGGCCAACGAGGCAGTAATTCTTATTATCACATACAATATGGATTGGGATGAGTCTACTACCGTACGGCTGTGTATGTACTTACAATTTCAGACTACGTGTTACTGTTAAGAATATTCGATAGAAAACTATGATACATACTTTGCTCGGCTTTCCCGCTTAGCAATCATGCGACGGATAATATTGTCTTTAAAATACTTTAATTGTTCAATAATGTGTACAGGACAAAGGCTGGGTGTCTTGAGCGTCCCTCTGTGAGTGCGACCTACAGTACATAGCGCGGTACATAGAGACCGCTCGATACATACGCGCGCACGCGTACACGCCCTGCCAGGGATGGGACCAAACTACCGAAATAATGCTCCGTTGTTGGCATATTTTCATTACTTCTTCCAAAGTTGTTATAAAATACTTTAGCAAAACCAAGGTCTAGAAGAAGGCCAAGTCATAGAATGGTTCTATGCATCAGGACGGTTACCAATGTATTAGGTAACTAACTAATGATAAAATTAAAGCTCAAGTCAAGAGCGAAAAATAATGTTTCGTCATTATCATTTTATTTCCATACTCTGCTTGATCTAACCCTCTCCAATAGCAGTAAAACAATAACTTTAGTATAAAAACAAGAAATCTACTGTCATTAGTGGATGTGTTGCAGCGTGGCGTGATCATGATAACGAGAACGTCTTTTAAACTGTCAAACACCAAGCGGTCACCGGTGACCGCAACCTATTGTTCTATAATTGTGTCTACAAAGACGGTACTCGACGAGTTAAATGAAGGAGCTATGTACAGATGAACACATTAATGTTATAAGAAACAATCACGTGAAATATACCATTTTACATAGCACTCACATCGATAGTTTTGCAGCAAAGTTATCGATAGCATTTATTTTGGCCATCACTAGTCGATTCCCCACCCGCTTCCGATTGCTATATAGGTAGGTACTGCTAACGAAAATAATTGTACAAATATTTCTAATATTTGCATTGTTAAGATATAAATAGGTACACACTTCTGAAGTAGCAATATTAATGTTTGTCAGGTGGATTTGATAAATATTTTTGAAAGTCTTGTAATACGGGTGAGATGACGTCAAAACGAAATACATACTTTTCCCATGGGTGCCTCTGAACATAAAATGTAGGGGTAGGCTCAAGATAGAGCTTGCAGTGGATCGTGTTGTACACTGACTTCTATTTAAATCTGATTGATGACGGATATTATTTATTAAATACTCTTGCACGTATAGCACTCGACAGACTTAATGCTAGGGCATTCTCTGTCAGTCTACCTTAGTGTGGTACAGAGACAGGACACGGTAGATATACATGACCCCTATTTCTAAGGTATAAACAGAGTGTCTTCAACGCCCGAGTGGATAGGTTGCTTATAGAACATATGGACGTGCTCCATGGTAGACCGCATCATCGCTAACTACAGCGCAAGACAGTGGTCAAACGTTGTCCCATCAAATATTTAAAAAAAATCATGGGTATCTTTTTTTTTCTAAAAAAACGTTGCCCCACTTTAGGATTTTCTCCTATGTCGTGGGTGCGTTTACAAACATACAAGTTCACATACACAATGACACCCAGACCCGAAACAACAATTTGTGGATCGCACAAAGTATTGTTCCGTGCGGGAATCGAACCCGCGACACGTTGCACGGCAGCCGGTTGCCCAGCCACCGCACCAACCGTGCAGTCAGCATCTAACAATATTGTGTTTAAGACTAGCCTATTACCATTTACCTACCGAACATTGTTCCGAGCACTCCAATTTGTGGGAATTTTGGAAGACACCATATAGATCTAATAATAGAGTAGACATTTTTCAATGAGACTCTTTTTCGTCAGTTGCTTTTCCGGCGCTCGACAAACGAGGCAGTACTTAATCGTGACTTCT